AGGATGTCCGCAGGTTCACTGCTGCATGTGATGTGTGCGCTCGATCCAAGTCATCTAACCGACCCAGCGCTGGAGAGTTACAACCTCTCCCTGTGCCCAAGCGGCCGTGGTCACACATCGGGCTGGATTTTGTCACGGGACTGCCGGCCGTCGACCACCTGGACACCATATTGACTATCACGGACCGTTTCTCCAAGGCCGTGCACTTAGTGGCCCTGGCCGGCCTCCCCACTGCCAAGAGAACGGCCGAACTGCTCCTCGAACAGGTGGTGAAGTTCCATGGTTTCCCTCAGGACGTGGTTTCCAACCGAGGACCCCAGTTCGTCTCACGCTTCTGGAAAGCGTTCTGTCGCCTGGTTGCCTGTCCTCTGGGTACCATCCGAAAACGAGCGGTCAGACGGAGAGAGCTAACCAGCAGCTTGGACGCTACTTGCACTGCTCCGCTTCGTCCCAGCCGACCACCTGGCCCAGCTTCCTCCTGTGGGCGGAACTGTCCCACAACCTCCAGACCTCCTCTGCCACGATTATGTCTCCCTTCGAGACCTATTATTGGTACCAGCCCCCTCTGTTCGACCACCAGGTGCCCGAGGTGGAGGTCCCTGCTGCCCAGACGCTGGTCCGCCGCTGTCGGCTTGCCTGGATCCAGGCCCGTGCGGCCATCACCCGGGCCAACATGGAGTATGCTCGTCAACATCGCCGCCGCCACCGGCCTGGCCCCGTCTTCCGGTCTGGCGACCAGGTGTGGCTCTCCTCCGCTAATCTGAGGATGCCGGCTGGTTCCAGGAAGCTCACTCCTCGCTTCCTGGGTCCGTTCCCTGTCCTCAGGATCATCAACCCGGTCACTTACCGTCTGCTCCTCCCGGCTGCTCTCCGGATCCACCCGGTCTTTCACGTCTTCCAGCTGAAGCCGGTGGTCTCCTCTCCACCCTCTGACGACCCGGGTGCCTCCGCCCCACTGTGTGGAGGAGGATCGCATCTACACTGTCCTCAGGGTTCTGGACGCTCGCCGCCGGGGACGTGGTTGGCAGTACCTTGTGGACTCAGAGGGGTACAGCCCGGAGGAGCGCTCTTGGGAGCCCACGAGCTCGTTTGTCGACCCTACCCTGCTATCTGACTTCTGGGCCCGGCGTCCTGGTACTTCGGGAGCCGTCCCTCGAGGGGGGGGGGGGGGGGGTCCTGTCACAAACTCCTCCAGCTGACTCCATTTCCCAGCATTCTCGCCACCATTTCCCAACATTCCCGCCACCAACGTGGCCGCCGACGTCATCACGCCAACACTATAAACGGAAGTGCTGGCGTTTCATTCATTACTCTGTCATCGTTCTCACCAGACTTTGAATCGAGTTCTCAGGCTTACCAGCCTTCAAACCTTCAAACCGAACCTAAAGGAGCTAAACCACGCTGTTTATCTCCACCACTCCGTGTCTGGGCAACAGACCTCCTCAGCCACGCTTCAGCTCTGCCACCAAACCTGACAGACTTTGTGTTCCAACAGGACTCATTTCACGTAGTGTTAAAAGGACACGACACATTCCTTTCACTGATCCAGTCAGAATCTTACAGATCTGACGGAGGCGTGCTTCTGACGGTGTTTGGTAATTTTCATTCGACAATAAACCATAACATCCGAGGTATAAAACTATGCCACGTCAGCTTTAACGCCAGTTCAAAGCGTTCCAGAGCAAGCGTCGGAGTGGCCAATCCTGACCTTTTACTCTTTAACCGAAAGAACCAACGACAAGCTGAAAAATCCAGTCGCTATAACAACCAGCGGCAACAACAGCTCCTTTCAGAATAAAAGCTCCACCGACCCAGGCTTGGGTCTGACCAATAAAAGTGTCGTGTGCCGGAAGTAACTCAAGACGGGTCTGGTCGGAATCGTGGCTTCTTCTACCAGCTCGGCTTCCAGAGAGGGTTCAGTGGACCTCGATATTCCTGATTTACAGAGGACTTCCACCGAGGGCAAGGTAGGCCGACATGATGGGGTCTCATGCTGTTTCTGAAGCTAACCAAAGCTTAATTCAAAACAACATCCTCAGTTCCTGTCAGAACTAATCGCTTCTTTGGATTTGCTGCTTCTGAGTTAACATCACACGTCATCCATTCACCGCCTCATCCATTTTAGTTACTCTATACATTTAGTTAAAAGTCAGTCTAGTTTGTTAGTAATAAAATTCTTAACTTTTAAACTTGACTTTCTCTATTCTGTTGTCTCTGAGTGAATATGTAACTTATCTAATCTCTGCAATAAAAAGATCACATCTTCTGGTTTAAATAACCCTTCGATCCGTAAGGTGGATTCCATATTTCCTATGGAATCCCACGCCTTATGGCTCATTAATTAGAATGTAATAATCTCATTTCATTACAATGTACAAGCAATCAAAACAGACTTAAAACAATCTTTAAGTACTCAGCAGCAGGCCTATTGATCAGAAACTATTGATTGCAATGAATTATTGACAGTAGATAATAGATGGCAGGTAGTGAGCTTTAGTGATTTTTGCAGCTCATTCCAGTCGCTGGAAGCAGCTAACTGGAATGAGGAGCGGCCAAAGGAGGTGCGAGGTTTGGGAATAACCATGGAGATTAAGTTACTGAAACGTAAATTGTGATGGTTGTTGGAAGTGATGAGTAATGGGCGAAGATATGACGATATTCTACCGATGATTATTTTGTATATGAAATTAAACCAATGTAACAACCTATGGAAATGGAGTGATGGCCAGTTAACAAGTGAGTGCAGATCACAATGATGAGTGAAAGGCACGCCAGTGATGAAACAGATTGCGGAGTGATAAATGACATTGAGTTTATGAAGTTTTTTGGAGGCAATTCCTGTAAATGATGTCACCATAATCTGCACAGGGGTTCGAAAACTGCTAGATTCCAGATATTGAGTTAGCTGTTTGCTGAAGGTTTTAATGTTCCTTTGCATTTAATGATTCTGTAGAATGCAGGTTGGACCTTTTTACTTATTCATACTAATTTTTACACCCAGTTAAACTGCAACCATGCACTTGGATATTGCTGTAGACCTCCTGAAAAAAGCTGATGTCTCCCTTGCCAGTTACAGAAACACTGGTTTTGCTGCACAATCCTCTGCAAAAGAATTGAGTTGCTGTAGTTGCTGCCCTAAAACAGAAGAGGCTCAGAGTGACCAAAAGGCAGTTTTCCTATGAGGCTCCCGATGAGCAGCTTAGTGGTGCACTGACGAGAATGGAAGTTTCTTTCTTCAATGCAGTTGTGTGCATTTCATCACTAAGAGAAAGAAAAGAAATGATGGGTGACATTGCTAGCAAGTTTAGTGTTCTCACAAACGTCCCTGATCTCCCAGCTGATGAGCTTGTGAACCAAGCAAAAAAACTGACCAACACCCTGACCTTCGGACATCAATCAGATTTGGATGCAGAAGAACTGATTGGGGAGATGCAATCTTTTCCAACTTGGCTGAAACACAAAATGACATCTCTTGAATTGTTGGTGTTTCTTGAGGAGAAAAACCTTAAGGAAGCATATCCCAACCTATCGATAGCACTGAGAATTGTTGTCACAACTCCAGTGACTGTGGCATCTGCTGAGAAAAGCTTCTTCAAGCTCAAGCTAATCAAGACATATTTGCAATCCACAATGTCTCAGGAACGTCTCAGTGGACTGGCAATAATAAGCATCAATCAGGAAGTGTCAAAACAAATTTCATTGGATGAAACCATAGATGCCTTTGCTGCTAGGAAGTCCAGACGAGTGCAGTTTTGAATAACACTGGAAACGATACTGAGGTTTTGGTGTTTGAGATTATCTTTTTGTGGAAATAACACGCAATCTTTTCCAACTTGGCCCAAACCTAAAATGACAGCACTGTAACTTGTTTTCCTTGAGGTGAGATTTTTGTGAGAATCTTTTGATTGCCCCATGTGATGTTTTTAAGTTTTATTTATAACAACGTTGAACAAAATGAAAAGTAGAACTTTCTTTATGATGGCACTTTGATGTTTGAGCTTTGCTTCTGATTGCACAGTTTAATGCTGCTTTGATTTAGCCCCCCCCCCATGACATTTTGAGTTGTTGGTTATTGTAATATTCTCATGTTACTTATCTTTCAAGCTTATATTTATTCTTCAGGCTGTTGAATTTAAAGAGTTGTGTGAATATTTAAAATAAAAAAAAATTGTAATTAAGGAATAACTGTGGAGTTGTTTTTTTCCAATGTGTGGTGGGTGGGTGGACTTGGGTTTGGGTGAGAGGCGTGCAAATGGGCACTCTCGCCTTGGGCACCAAATTACCTAGAGCCAGCCCTATTCAGTTTGGAGGAGACATTTAAAGAAATTACTGAAGTAAGAAAGTTGGAATTTGGGAGAGTTAAGTTTATAAGCTGTAATTGTTTGCTATTTAAGCGCTAAAGGGACTTTTACAAACGTGGTACCGTAATTTCTGTATTATGCTCAGCCAATCATCCAGTGTGACATCGTCAGCATGCGCAGGACCCCGAGCAAATCTGATACCTACAGCTGGTATCTGCTACCATCTCAGCCATTTTGTCTCCATCTGAGTGGTGGTTGTGAGTGTGTTTGTGTGTGTGTGTGGGTACAGATTCTGACAGAGAATGGGGCAATTGCACTCTGTGTCGTTTTGCTACAAACACTTTGTTTTTCTTCAAGGCCCATGATGCTTTGCTGGGGATCTAGGGTTACATTATATGTGGAGTGCCCATGGTGGAGGTGAGATTTCATGGAATCCAAGAGTCTAATTACCAAGTAGTTATTTTGCCTTTAAAACAAAATTTTAAATGAAAAAGGACATCCCGAAAGTGCCAACAGTAATGTTTATCATACCTGGGCCTATCGTTACTCTGAGAGGTTTAAATGAGCATGATACCAGCCCTTTACATCACACATGAACAGTTCCTGGGGATAGAGTTCAACCACTAGGTTTATTTTCCCCAGCAGCTTTTATTCCATCCCGTAGAAAACCTTGTCTTTGGCTCCGGGCTCAGCCCCGCGTCATCCTTGGGTGCCGACAGCCACAGCTCCCTCCATCCTGTTTGCAGCCACGGCCTGGGATATTTCCTTCCAATGCAGGGAGGCGGCTGGGGCTCCCTTTGTCCCGTTAGTGGCCTTAGCATAGGCCCCATCTCCTTTCGTCCCATTCAGGGTCCTGGCTGGGGATCCCTCCATCCAGTCAATGGATCCGTTGATCACCCAAGTCAACCCAGTTCCATTCAGGGACCTGGCCCCCTCTGTACCATTCAGGGCCCTGGCCGGGGATCTCTCCATCCAGTCGATAGACTCATTGATCACCCCAGCCACCCCTGTACCATTGAGGGACCTGGCCGAGGTTCCATTCATCCTATTCGTGGACCCGTTGATCACAGCAGCCCCCTCTGTCCCTTTCAGGACCACGGCCTGGGATCCCTCCACCCCATTGGTGGCCCCAGCACTGTTGGCCCTCACCGTCTGGCCCATCTGGTCCTCAGTTCCTAAGCTCCTCTCTCTGCTTTGCTGCTTTGTTTCAACTTCAAGCCCCACAAGTCTCACGTGTCCAGCTGATGACTCAGTTTCCACTTTATTGGCTTCCAGTAACACTAAAAACCAAACAAACAGCAAGGTGAATGAATAAAGCCAGATGCTGCTGTTCTCACCTCATCTTTATTTGTGCCCCATGACAATCAGATTTTACTTTTACATCTTTATACATACACCAGTCTGCTAAAGTAGGAGGTTTAAAGCATCCAACCTTTTTTAACATCATTCCCCAACATGGAGTCCATTGACTTCAGAAGTCCAAGAGTCTTCACTGAAATCCCACCAAAAGACCACGCTGCAAAAAAAAAAAAAAAAAAAAAAAAAAGTTAACATAACCACCACCAGAAAGGCATTTTACTCCAGACTTTACCCCTTTTTCTGTGGAGCTCATCATCATCGGATCTCCTTCCATCTGCTGACAAACAGGTACCTATTGATAAAGCACAGTCAGACATTTGCCACAGCCCAGCTAAGAAGTTTAAAGTAAACACAAAACCACATGATTCCTAAAGCTATGAAACCTCATTTTCTTTTTCATGTGGTTTAAACTGTACTTAGTACCACTGTAGTAGTTTTTGAATACACGTGTGGATAAATATCATGAACAAAACCTTTGGTGATCAAACACATCAGCAACCAAACATGCAGAAACCCAACAGGCCCCATTGTTGCAGCTGGTGAGTGCTCAGCTCAGGTGAGGTGTTACTAAGCTTCTCATGCAGGTGACAGCTGGTGCTCATCAGCTCTGATTGGATTCAACCCTTCCTGTGAAAGTAAAACCAGCCGCGTTAGGCCCTGTCCACACATAGCTGGGGATCTGCCAAAACGTAGATATTTTTCTACGTCCAGCAGAATAATGCATCATGTCACAAAGTTCAGATCATCTCTATCTGGTTCTAGAACACGACCATTAGTTTACAGGTCTCCAACAGCCTCCACAGTCACCAGATCTCCATCTGAGATGTGATGGAGCCTCCTGCAGCAATGCCTGCTGGGGCTAAAGCCAGACCACCACCAGCAGCTGAGCTCATTTTCATCTCCAGGCATCTCTGTGTTGTTCCGTCACAGTCCGAGACGAGGCACGCACATCATCACGGGTTTGGGACAGTCATGGAGAAACCCAAACTTCCTTTTCTCTGCGTCACACATCTAGCTGTCAGGGGTCTGATGACCTTGGTTCTGTTGCTTCTGTTGGATCAGACCCAAGGACATACTCAGACCAATAAACTAAAGTGGTTTACCAAAACACTTTCTAGGTAGTTTTCCAAAAATACGGTCTGAAAAGCAGGTTGCCTGCTTTGGCTGAATGAATTCCACACTAATGATGGAAACCTCAGCAGCTGTAAAGTTTATTTCCCCCCAAAAGGCCACGGTTAGGCTGCAGGAACAAAACAGGCCCACTGGGGAGCTACTGGGAACACCGGGAGAGGAATTCAGAGAAAATAGCACGCTGGCGAGAGTTGGGAAAAGCAGAGCTCACCAGCGTTGGATTATTCCAGGATCCTGGAACAACATGAAAACTCTGCAGGAGGCTGAATTATCTACAGAAACGAGCAGTTAAACATTCCATTCAGGGTGAAAACATCCGATCACAATAATGCAATGACAGCATTTATGGTGACGCTGCACGACAACACTGACGGATGTCATGTAAATCAGTTTGTGTTTAACCATCCATCCATTGTCTGAACCCGCTTGTCCATGCGGGGTCGGGGGGGGGGGGGGGGGGGGGCGCTGGTGCGGTCAGTGGGCAATCAGGCGGGGTACACCCTGGACAGAGAGCCAGTCCATCGCAGGGCAACACAGAGACACACAGGACAAACACTCATGCATACACACACACACACAGACACACCTAAGGAATATTTAGACAGACCAATTAACCTAACATGTTTTTGGACTGTGGGAGGAAGCCGGAGTACCCGGAGAGAACCCACACATGCACAGGGAGAACATGCAAACTCCATGCAGAAAGATCCCAGGCCGGGAAGCGAACCCTGGACCTTCTTGCTGCAAGGCAACAGCTCTAACCACTGCTCCACCGCGCAGCCCAGTTTGTGTTTATCATTTATTGGAAATCATCTGCAATGATGGCATAGATGTCATGCAGCTCCACTTCAGATCAGACTGATAACATCTAAATATTTGCTTTTATCGTAATCTTCTAACTTTCCTAAATAAGACGAAGCCTGATTACACGACCCAACACCAGATTAGGATCCCTCTCCATTAATTGTGCAATCTGGTGATGATGGCATGGCAGGATGCTGCTGCTCTGAGGTGCTTGGTTGAAGACAGCGCACTCTAGTGGTTAGTTGGAGTAAAAACAATCCTAACACAAGTA